GCCATTCTTGTGTAGATTCTCTTTCACAAATGCACCATTCTTGTGTAGATTCTTTCATACTTGCACCATCCTTGTGTAGATTCTCTTTCACATATGCAAAATGTTTATGTAGATTCTCTTTCACATATGCGCCATCCTTGTGTAGATTTTCTTTCACAAATGCACCATTCTTATGTAGATTCTTTCACATATGCACCATTCTTATGTAAATTCTCTTTCAAATATGCACCATTCTTATGTAAATTCTCTTTTACATATGCACCATTCTTATGTAAATTCTCTTTCACATATGCACCATTCTTATGTAGATTCTTTTTCACATATGCACAATTCTTATGTAGACTCTCTTTCACATATGCACCATTTTTATGTAGATTCTCTTTCATATATGCACCATTTTTATGTAGATTCTCTTTCACAAATGCACCATTCTTATGTAGATTCTCTTTCACATATGCACCATTATGTAGATTCTCTTTCACATATGCACCATTCTTATGTAGATTCTCTTTCACATATGCACCATTTTTATGTAGATTCTCTTTCACATATGCTCCATCCTTGTGTAGATTCTCTTTCACAAATGCACCATTCGTATGTAGATTCACTTTCACATATGCGCCATCCTTGTGTAGATTCTCTTTCACAAATGCACCATTCGTATGTAGATTCACTTTCACATATGCGCCATCCTTGTGTAGATTCTCTTTCACAAATGCACCATTCGTATGTAGATTCACTTTCACATATGCACCATTCTTATGCATACCTGAATCATCTGCTAAGACTGACTTGCAGCATGCATATCATGGGCGGCTAATCTGGTAATTTTACGTTTCCTAGAAAATCAAGATAATGAGTATTTACATAGAAATGATGCGAGAGTTTAACGAAAACTATGGACAGCGGTTCCTTGTTATATCTGTTATATAGGTATAGTGAACTCACATATGTGCTCTTACATGCAGTCTTACTATTGTTGTTGCGCCCTGGTACGGGGACGACTTACAATGGCCGCCATTTCTATCACTTTTTTGAGTTTAATTGTACTGTTGTCAGCTTTAGTCGTTTTCTCCTCAAAAATATTGATATTAAGAAATATTTAACAAAATCACTGAATCGTACCATTTTCTCATTGACAATAATTTAATATTTATTTTAAAGAGACTTGTAAAGGTATCCACTATTTGTACCGCGTCGCCGCGTTCGATGTGAGACTCATACACGACGAATGCTACGCGGGTAAATTACATTGCGCGGGTAAATTACATTGCGTGTGTACATAAATGAAGAAGTATACTTTACAACACACGCCATTAAATGTTAAGTATTCATTGAGCAATCATAAGAAGTGAGGCATATTGTGATATATTCGTGTAATTAATGTATATACATGTACCAACATCAAGTTCACGTGGTGGTCCTGAAGATTAGTGATTAAAATAAAAAGCGGGTTACGGTGCCCAGCTCATGATAAAAGGGCACTATAATTACATATAATAGCACACTGGTTCGTACCCATGGGAATGTTTCTGTTCGGGGTGACTGCATTTATAATTTCTTCCGGGTCAAATCTACTATGTAGTCCTGTATGCCTAACGATCGAAATCCTGTAAGGTCACTGGTACACGTGGAGCTCGTGTTCGTTGCATTTCTGTCAGCCATCAACGAATTCCTGACCAATGAGATCTACATGAAGCTATAAAATGTTCCGCTCCTAAAATAAATGAAAACAAATCGGATATTTATGTACGTCCCAGTGGCTTTCATGTATCGTATGAATGTTTGTTATTGTACAATATTACACCTAGTGTGGTAGAGCCGCCATTTTACATTCATGGGACTTATACCATGTGTGATTAACCTCTTGATCTGATGATGAAAAAATGGTGACATCAGTTTCATACATTATTCGTGTCTTAATCCTCCCCTTTGTTCACATAAATTCGGATAAACTTCGGAGGAAACAATGTGAACATCATGCAGGCCATAATTCCTATCATTGTATCGGCTGTACCTACGATTGCGGAAGTAATTTGTTGACAAGGTTCAGTCATTCGTCCCCGGAGATAATTAAAAGCGTGCTTTGCTGCTGTTATTTGTGGATTAAAGGACGGTGTTCTGTCCATTGTTGTGTGTTATAAATCACTAGTATCCGAATGAGAGTTTTTTTTATGAAATAAAAGCTTTAACATTACCACGCGAAAGTGTAGAACTCTATTCTCGAGTAAATTCAACTAAATTTGTTTAATTTTGGTAGTGCTGATTTCTAAAAATAATGATTCATTCAGAATACTGTGGTTAGTGTATCGAATATTTCATGAGCAAACGACATTTGTACTGAAAAATATGCAGTACTATATGGATTGTTGACTGAAGATTCGAATGAGTAAAATATTACAACGCTTAGAAAAACTGTGCATATTTGGTCTATCCACATACCAATTAGCCAGTGTCTCACATATAATACTTACGAAAACAAATTTCTTGTTCAACTAATGACAGATCATACTGATCGAATTGGGAGAGTTCAGAGGTTGTTATATTTGCAGATGTGTAGATGTAGTCACGTGGTATCCGTTGCGCTAGATGGTCGATAATTGCCTATATGGAGAAATAAACCAAAATGTAACCACCATAGAATGCGTAGCTGTATAACTATTCAATACTTCTCTGACCGAGTCGTTGAGATAGGAAAAGTTGCAACTTGGCTATTCATTCAGTGGGGTGCATTATTATTTGGGTTGTATTATCATATTAAATGTAAATTGCCACATTAACAATCCGTAACACCTGGTGGCCATTGTGTGTATCAAATAAACAGGATGAAATTATGGCAGAACGTCATGTTTCATCTTTGAAATTTACACTTAGACTATGAAAAATATCTATTTTTAATGCTTCGAGTAATAAAGCCACAGTGGTTTTATTCCATTTTAAATCTGCCCTATATACTGTGGCCATTCATTATTTTATTCTCATTATCACAGTTAAACTTTCAAAATAAAATTAAATTGACCTGTTTTCAAGATAAACAAAAACAAAAAAACTGCGAGATTTGATACAAGGTAACATTGCCATATCCTGCCCCTTTGACATGGAAACATTCTCGGCGGGGGAATCGGACAGAACCCAAGCCAGCTGTAAACTGAAAAAAAGTCTAATTGGTTAAACGATTAATTTGGAGTCATCTACATTGGGTGAACAGTTAGTAGAATGTCATTTAAGCCACACCTCTAATATTACGGCGTTTTCTATTGGCTGGAAGTTGAAATATGTCGACATGACACAGGACGATACAGCGCCTAGAACAGTACGAAGCTCGACCGTAATAGTCACGGTGGTTGGGTTTGGTGCAGTGATAAGCGCTGTACTCGCTGTACATGGTTTTATATATTCTCTTTTGTTGCTAATAAAATGAATACAATGAAACAACATTACAAATAAAACAGTCCTGCGGTTACAAATTTAGTCGGTATGGGAATTGAACAACATATTGAAGGCCCGGGGGGTACTCACATTAAGGTGCTTTATGTATATGTGCCGCCAAAAGGGGTCCCACATTCACCACTTCTGTCTGAAAAGGGATATGTTATGTTACCCAGTCTGTCTGAAAAAAGGTATCTTTTTTTTAATTATTACTGTCGGAAAAGGGGTCCGTATTTTTCAAAGACTGTCTCTAGAGCTTGAGTGATCCAACAATCAGGAGAATGAAGCTGATTTTTTTTTCTGTAACTTAATTTCGATCGAAAGTCCATCCCCGGGAAGCCACCTGCTTTTCCCTTGGTACCATTTATGCTTACCGTCTAGAAAGGGGTGTTAAATATCCACAGTTTGTCTGAAAAGGGGTAGGCCATTTGAGTTTATTTCTGTCTGATAAGAGCTATGGGCTTCAAACTACCAGCTATACACCCCTGTCGGAATTTTTTGCAAGTACCCCCCCCCCCCCGGATTGAAGATCAAACTGAAAAGAAAATTATGTAACCACAGTACCGCTGTATTCAGGAGAATTACTCCACATTACGTCCACGAAATGAATTTGGGGGTGAAGCATTTACTAGCAATAAACTGACAAGGTGTCACGCCCTCTACCCCAATACCCATTTTGAAATGTTGTTGGTTGATCCCTAGCCCCACAATGTTTTGACTGCCAACGGATATGTCGGTCCCTTCGCGTATACGACGAAACTAGGTCGGGTCCTATCAATACACATTGAATATTTAAATTTTGATTTCAATATATCAATTTTCAAGTTAGATTTGTGCGCTATACACTCGACAATGTTGAATTCATCACATAATGTGATATGTTCATGGGGACGTTCGTAAATAAATAATACATGGCCGTATTATGTACAGCAGCTAATTTACAATTTGTCGACTGTAGAGATTAACGCATACAGACTACTAAGGCAACTAGTTTGTGCCTCTCGTACCAAATACATATTGCAGGCTTGATAGACATTGAGCGTAATGGCCGCCGATATCACCCTGATAGCGCGAGAGTCGTACGACTTGCTTTAAAGCAGTTTTCCAACCACCATGCCCTATGTTACATATATCATAGTTGCCTGTATCAGGAGAAGAGTGGACGCGATTGGCAGAAGAGAAGGAAAGATTATTCTGGGGGATTGAAAACAAATCGCGAAGCGTATCAACGAAATGTTGGTGGTCATTTGCATATTATGTTTATTCCATTGGAATTTCACGTTTTAGACGCGTGTTTTGAGCGCTTAAAAAACCGTGGCTTATTATATTAGCCTATAGCAAGCTGGTCTACGTTAATACTCACTGTAGCGCTAAATCCGACAGATGGATTAGTGCACCATTTTTATGGCTTATTCCATTTTTGTTGAAGAGGTTAATAGTAATAGCCAAAGTATAACCCTTTTTTGCGGCGATTAGATAATTACATAACCTACCCTTGACCAAACTGGACAGGCAACGTAAATACATTGCAAGTTCTTTTTCTTCATTATATCTGCGATGTGCTCACTGACCTTGTCAGCCATCCTGGCAATTTGTTTTATTTTGTCTTTACACGATGAGTTATAGAATACGCCACCGTGTCCATTTAAATGGAAGACACACCTGTGAAATAAACATATGTGAATGTCATAAGGATACACAGTAACTAGAAACTACTCGCATTCCCGTTTCGTAATTTTAGTTTTTGCTCGAATAATAAGTGTACACATATAATGACAAAAAGGTGGTTATCATTACACAATATGGAACAAATTTTGCGCTTGCAAGTTTTTTTTTTAGCGGTTTGTTTCGCATCTGCTTGTTCAGGATTTATCAACATAATAGTCAGTCACCCTTGGGATACGAACTACGGGAAAACAATTGTATTACAGGACATGATTGGATGATATGGATATTGAACTGTATATATCCCACTTAAAACAACATGTGTTATACAATTAATAATATATCGTATATACTAACTTAAACTCTGTAGTTTTGTTTCTCCAATGAAGAGCTAAGTACGGTCTCCCTTGACAAACATTCCTTAAAATAGTGTTGGTGGCGTTCTTAATGACCTCTGACCTGACCAGGAACGGATGAATGTCAATGGTAAGGTTTCCGAAATGATATTCGTATGGTCTGTAATACGCTAAACATGGTGTGTAGTTTGTCATCTTCTCCATCTCTGTGACATTGTCGATACCCGAGAGAAATTTGACATCGTTGAATTCAGGAACAGTGATGCCATACACAGAGTTCATAATTTTCTCCTGTGTTTTCTGGTAACTAATCGCCGAGTTGTCCCACGTAACAACCACAATGTTGCCGTCACAACTCTTCTTAAACTCGTCCACAGACGCCACTGGTACAAATTCCGATAATCTCTTAATATCGAATGTGTTGTTGAACGTCCTCACAAAACTCGTCCTTCTATTCAAATTTCTGGAGGCGCCCCCTTGCACAAAGAAAGGAGCTAAAACTATTTTTCTGTTGGTAGCGTACGCCATCTTAACGGCATTTATGAAATTCAAGTATTGGGTGTTAGATCCTCCATTCCCAGATCGCTGCATTGGGAATAGGAAACCGGGTAAGGTTATTTTGGGTGAGAAGTTACGCTGTTCTTCCAACTCTGTGGAGTTGGTTATAGATCCTGTGTCGCTGGTGGAAGTGGTATAACTTGTTGTGGTGGTGGTGTTTGTATTCGTGATATTCAGACGACGTTTTAATGTTCCATTCGAAGTTGTGACATTAGAAATATTCTTACCCTGATATTATAAAAAAAAGAAATTATGTTAACAATATTTGCTTACATCGAGCGTACAACAATCATTATGGTCTTACATTTACGATCGCTATATTCGTGCAATAAATGTGTGGGAATACTGGAATTTAGGTTTTCATCTGAAAGCAGAAGTAAAGTTCGTGGCATGTCCCAAGTATGAATCTAGACATTAAACATTCTGGTGATAGTACCTTGACATAATCTGACACTATCTCAACTATTTAATAGTCGAATGAGAGCACTCTTAATGTCGCGGTACTTGTATGTAAAGGTATTATTTAAATTTCCGATTAACCGCCATCTTGTTATACTAGTACAACAGATGTCGACATCTGTTTTTCGGAATGAACGTGTCCATGGGAATGAAGTACATTTTGTTTTACATCAATGCTATTAATAATAATATCAACTAAATTTTTAAAATACTGAAAATAAATATTATGATATATGTTCGTTAAACGTTATACATTTTATTTAAAAGGTTTATACTTCAAGTTGAATATTCATGCGATTGGAGCAGTTAACCAAATCAATAGTAAGTAGTAGGGGCAGTGCTTGCTATGGAACAATATTATAAATCAATTTTGTGGCCCTTGCGGTAATCGCGTAGATTTGTGGAGATGTCAATATTACGCGATTAAAATGAAAACACGCAATGAAAATCCATACTTACCAGCTGACTCACACTGGCAGAGTATGTAATGCCCCGTACCACTTCAATATACCTAGGTAAAACGACAAATAGGGTGTCTGCCATACACCAATAAATGATAATATTCATTAGAAGTATACCAGCAATTACTAAGATAAAAACTGACAATGATCGCATCTTCCCCAAATGCCAGTTTTCACTGGCATGGATTATTCAATCACGACCCAATGACCCGTATTATCACAAATGTCGGGGATATTTTTTTAGTCGTGCATTGAACCCAAATTTGCATATTTCATTCGATTCACAGTCGTAACAACTGGACTCGTTTCCCGGCAACCGCTTTGTTTAGTTGCTTTCATTTGCATAAAACAAAACGCAAGAAGTGTTTTTGAAAGATTTCTATATATGGTGTTATTATATGGGCCGGTAGATGATCTAAAACCAAAGTGTAAACTCCAAGATTATGGCAACTTACTACGACCGGTTTGCACGAGGTAATGCACGAGGACGCACCAAGCAGCACATGCGTTGCTTCATGAGCTGCCTCGTATGTATGATAAAATCGCGTTGCTAAGATAGGTCGAAACGGCAGCGAAACTCGTGGTTTGTTGTTTAAAGCGGGAGGGTCGTCATCTGCACACGCGCGGGAATTGAGTCTCAAGTGACGATAACAACACACGCAAAAACTCAGAGTGGACGCTTGTTTGTAAACAATGTTACGCTAAGACCATCTGACTCATGCGCGGGTGACGACTCCCCCTCTTTAATATCGCCTGAAAATCATCATGTCGGTTTAGTCATCAATCTCTACAGCTAGCGATGGGGAATGTACAATTTCACAGAAGACCGATCAGCTTCAATATTCTAAGACCGAAACTAGTCCAAAATATATGGAAAGCCATTCGGGATCCCGACGGTTTAAGAAAGAACCTACAGAGTTGAAAGTTGGATAAATATAAGCAAACTAAGGCAATTCCGAAGGTTTCATTTGTTTTTTATTACCACGGGATTCATCCGGTATTATTTTAATTAAGTCCGACATTTATTATACACATTGTACACATTGTATCAAACACATTGATACTCGTTTAATAAAAATGTATGTTAATTACTCACGTATCATCACTGAGTACGTCATTGATATCACTACCGTAGGTGTAATTATGGATAATATTTGTATTTGTGTTGCTAAATTGCGCGAGCAGTTTTATTGATAATGTGACATAAATTGTAAGTGAAAAGTACAGAGCCCTGGCTGTGTGAATGAAAAGCGCACATGTTTGGATACTTTGCTACAACCCATTGTACATGTTTATTTTTAAGACTGCTGATACAGTCACTGGATTGTGTTGTCAGCAGAATTTGAGATACATACATTCTGTCTCTCCCTGTGGCATAATGGTATGTCTCAGGCAGTGACATGGTGATTGTGAACTACCTTGGTATGTGCTGAGCCCAGTGTTCTTGGGAATGAAAATAGATATGACATCATTGACCTGATCCTATTTTAAATTGGTAGAGCTCGGATTAAAAGTGGTCTCTTCCACTACCAAAATGAGCATTCTTGATACACTGATTGGTCAGTCATTTATTATTTGCATGGCCATAAATTAGGTAGAGTATTTAAGTTGTGGCAAGTGTGAAAATCTTTAGTCAGGAATGTGACCTGACTTTATCCTGTAACATCCTGTGATGCTGATTCCTGACTCCAGTGAGCTGTACCCTATACAGAGGTACACAATATGCAGACGTGCTGTGCAGTAATCCTTGCTGATCAACAGGAACCACCGATGCTCACTGCCTGAACTACAGTGGCGGATCCAGGGGGCAGGGGGCATATCATATTATCTGGATTACGCATAGCTTCTCTGCGATTTTCGCTCCGTATATCTTAAGCGAAGCTTGCCTCCCCCCCCCCCCAATACAATTTGCTGGATCCGCCATTGCTGAACTACTCCCGTTGTACCAGTGCTACCAGTAGCAGCAGATAGCAGTGCAGTTGCTGATACTCCCTGGGCACAGAGCACTGGTTTAAATTGTAGTGTAGTTGCTTCGACAGTGTGCCAGATACGAAGGAGCGCAACATTGCACATTGCTGTCCATTGGAGAGTGTTCCCTGCAGCATCGATCAAGTCTCTTAATTTTATTTGTGTACTGTATAACCCAGAGACCAGCATCCCTGTTATTTGTTTATTAAAGTACAGGAAACCGTATATATTGTGTTGTGTTAATTTGTTATAATCGTTACTGGTATATTTCTTTCTCTGCATAGCCTCAGTTGTGGTGATATACATTCACCAAACGATCCCCACCCCGTGACAGCGGACAAGCTGAGAGCCAGGCGACTAATAAGATAAGCACGCTACCAGAGACAAAGATTATAATATTAGTCCGGCATTAAAGAAAGCTCCCATGCTCATGAATACGGCGTAGCCCCACAAAGCCCCCCCCCGCATTTAACGTCACAGTATCGATTCTTCTTGCCGCTGTTAGTGATCATTTATCACTAAGAACGACCTACAGCCATTGCTGTTACCATTGGTTACATAAACTGAATCGATAATAATACCATCGGAAACGCGACCACTAAGTATAAAGCCGGGAACAGCCACTGGTGGCGCTGTATAATTTCGAAGTAGTTAGTGGCTCGCAAAGGCAGACTTATAGTAAAAGAGCAGGAGCACTTGTTAAATCTGGTGACCTGTTTAGGATAATTGAAAGCGTGTACAGTCTTCTAATAACCACAAGTTCAAGGCCGAAAATATGTGCTTGCGTCGTTTCATAATAAATGATTTTAGTAATATTTGCACCTTAAAATAAAATTCATGTGATATGTTTACGTCATAACCTCATCAATGTTATTAGCATATTGTGTACACAGTGCGCATG